AGCCCTTCCTGCCTGACAGAGAGGGGGGGGGGGCTGTTCTTGGCATCCCCCCCCACCCGGCTTCCTGCCCCTCCACAGAAGAGGCTCAAACCTGTTGCCCCAGCCCCTTCTGCCCTGGGCAGAGTGCCTGCCGCTCCCCTCGTTCCATGTGGCCTGGAGAGGGGGAGAAGGAGGAGAGGACAGCGCCCAGGTGGGCTCCTCATTCATTTAGTGAACACGTACTCCAGGCACGTGGTAGAGCACAGAGGGAGATGCTTTAGCAGAGAGGTTCGGAACGTGCGTCCCGGAGCCAGGGTGCTGGGGCTCACATCCTGGCTCTGCCACTTCTAACTTCTCTGGGCTTTAGTTTTCCAGTCTGTAAAATGAGTATATTAGTCATGCCTACCACGTGGGATTATTGCAAGGACAAAACAAATTAATATGTATATAAGGTGCTTAAGACAGGACCTGGCCCTCCGTGAGGGTTAGCTGTTATCACCACTATCACCACGTGCCAGGCATTTTCTAGGACTGAGGCACTCGTTTCCAGCTACGTGGAGTTGGTGCCACTGGGTCTCAGCTGAGTCCCTTCCCAGGGACCACCCCAGGCAGAAGGGGGGCTGTTGCCCAGGGTTCCTCCTCCTGCACAGGGGCAACCATGTCCCATGACTGGTTCATAGTCTGAAAGGCCAGCCTGTCCCTCTGCCCGGTCCTGCATCCCTTCCAGGAACATTCCTGAATGAACCCCAGAGTCTGTTTCTGGGAAAATCTAACCTAAGACCCTAGCTTTAAAAAAGACGCCATCCCCACCCTCATGGAGTTCACACTGTAATGGGGAAAGCACACATTCTGTTCATAAATAAGACATTCCAGATTGTCCCTGGACTCATGGAGGGCTGTGACCTGTGTGCAGGATGCAACTGGTGCCCCCACCAGCACTGTAAGAAATAAATGTTGTTTCTTTATAAATTACCCAGTTTCAGGTATTAATCCATTAATGGATTAACCTGTTCATGACAGCAGAGCCCTCAAGACCCAATAACCTCTTAAATGCCCCACATCTCAATACTGCCACACTGGGGATTAAGTTCCCACATGAGTTTTGGAGGGACAAACATTCAAACCACAGCAAACTGCCTCCCTCTTGGATTTGTCATCCTCACCACATGTTTTTACCATCTAAGGCCCTTCCTCTGAAGCTCAAGGAGTGTTCGTGCTCCTGTTGACAATTGAAAGACCCACATGCCCCCCACAGCCAGCACCCTGGAGCTCCCCTCTGCCACCATGAGAACTTTCACCCCCCAGCCAGCTTTGAGCTCCTGCCCTGAGCTGGCCTCCCTGCCAGGCCAGATCAGCTCTCTTAGCCACACTCGGTCCTCCAGGAAGGAGGCATGGGCACAGGGGCCGAGACACAGACCTTGTGCTCAGCACACTCCTCAGCACCAGAATGTGCTCCATAGAGAACTACTGTCTCTAAGGGACCTACCGGGAAGGGCAGCTGGGACTGTCCTGATGATCTGCAGGTGGGCGCCCAACAGGATGCAGGAGCCTTTCACATACATGTTCTCCCCGCAGGCTTTGTGCACGGTCGGGCCACAGGCCTGGGGGCAGAAGCCTATGAAAGAGGGGCCCTCCCCCTCCTTCTGTCCCCAGGCCCTACCTGTCCCCTCACAACCCTCCTGTAACCCAGGACCACTCACCAGCAGCTGGGAATGGTTGGTGGAGGCTGCCAAAGACAGGCCTAGGGACATATTCACAGCCTCTGGGGGGACTGAGGGGACAGACACACATGTCACACCCCATTATCTGGGGGGAAAGTCCAAGCTGGGGTATGCTTGGGTCCAGGAAGGTTGAGGGCCCAATCCCTCAGTCAAGTTACTCACTGTTCAGCGAGATGGGCTGGCACCGGCCAGTGGGAGTTGCACAGTCATACAAGCGTCCGGTGTGGTTGACTGCCACCACCTCCAGGGGGGCACCCACCACAAGCCTGAAAGAACGACCAGAATGCACAATTGCAAGAGGGGTGGGAACAGGGGAACTTGGGGGCAAGGAAGCATCTTGCAATGAGAAAGTAAAAATTTGTGAGGAAGTTCCTGGCATTTGCCACTTTGGGAGGCTGCCCTAAATCAGTGCCCACGTTTAATCCACATATGCCTAAGCACCGTGCTGGGGTTTTCATTGATCTGGGTTTTTTTTGTTTGTTTTTTTTTGAGCATGCATACATGAGTATATGTGTAGCTATGTACATAAATGGTTTGTATTTTTTTTAACATTCACCCAAAATAAAACTAAACACAAAAATGGCATTTCCCAATCATGAGTAAGTACATTGTGTTTCTGAGATGCCATCACGTGGAGACACCCAAGAAATAGATCACCTCAAGTTAAATGGAACAATTTCCTGAAGCCATAAGCTTTCAAAACAAATATCTGATTCTATAATTAACTGAACTAATTTAAATATAATGTAAACAGGCTGACAAGTTAGCTCAGTGGGTTCGAGCACGGTATTATCAGCCAAGGTCAAGGGTTCAGATCCCCACACTGGCCGGCTGGCAAAAACATAAATAAATAATTATAATGTAAATGCTTTAAATTGAACAATTTAAAGCAGTTGTATCAGAATCCATATCTATTTTTATAGTTATATAAATGCAACGGTTTATTTGCAAAACTCCATGACAGGAAAAAATTTTTTAATTTTGGAAACATTTTGTCACTGCCAACAACCTCCTCACTCAGATGAAAAAAGTAGACAAATATAGGTATAATGGACAAAACTTAGTTAAACGGGCATTTAAGGAAAGCTATGCTTTTACAGGAAGTTGTGATCCCTGTGTGCCATGACTCGTGGAATGTCTAAGACTCAGCTAATGAAAACCTGAACAGGTAGCTAGAGAGGGACCCCTGTGGGACCTGCTGGCCCAAACAGCGAACAAACTTCTAGTCTAAACTATCAACCTGCATGTTTTTTCCTTGCCCAACCCATGCCTTACACGTAGGCTAAATCTTTTCAGTATTTGGGCTATGATTGAACAGAAGCCAGGAAAAACAATAACTTTGTAACGATCAGAATGTTACCAACCGACTAATACTGCTTAATGTAAACGCTGGTAAACAGTGATCAAGAAATAGTTTTATATTCCTTTTTTTAAATAGGGCCTGAAAACAAATTGATGATGATGGAAGTTGGAATAGTGGTTATCTTCAGATTTGTTGGGCGTTGGATGATCAGGAGGGGCCCAGGGGAACCCTGCTTGTGAGTTTGCAAGTATGTGTACCCGGGTAACTAGCATCTGATCAGTCTGCTCTAGGTGGGGGTTACCAGGTAACCACATATGTAAAAATTCATTGAGTTAGACTCCAGGTTTGTGCATTTCAAAACAAGCAAAAAACAAAACCCTGCACATGTTTCCACCACCCACACCTGCCAGCTGGGGGAGGAAGGGGACGCCTTTAGCTCTCAGCACCCTCTGAATCTCCTGGTGCCAACTGACCTCTGGGACTCACTGCCAACATCACCTCCTCTGCAGGGCCTCCTGGAATTAAGATGAGCTCCTGGAGGCAGGACCAGGTACATAATTTGTGGATCCCAACACAATATAAAAACGTGGGCCTCTTGGGGTTCACGGGAGCTTTTTCCTTTCTTCTGTGGTCTCTCTCTCTCTCTCTCAACTTGTCCTGGTGGTTTTTATTTGCTATTTAATGTCACACTCCCTTGGGATACTCAGGGGATGAGTGCACCTGGCCCTGACCTTGCCCAGCTTGTGCTAGGGCCAGAGGGTGGCAGTGGTCACTGGTAGGGGAGGGGGACCAGCAGTGGAGACCCCTTCCCCTGAGGTGGTGGGAGGCAGGCCACTTGTGAGCCAGGACTCTAGGACCCAACATATCTCCATCATCCCACCAATCTTTATTTACAAAACACTACCAAGAAGCCAGCCCCACCTGGAGCGCAGGTTCCAGGCCTCCCACACCAAAGAGGTATCTCGCCTGGAATTTTGTGGCCCTTCCTGGATCATGAATAATAAATGGTGGTGTCAGGGGCCTCCGAGGAGCCATGGAGAATTCTCACCCATACAACCCTTCCTCCAGGCCACTTCCCTGGATGCCATGTGTGGCCACCTGCCTGCAGGACATGATGGGGCGGGGTGTGCCTACCGAGATCTGCCAAACTGCACCACACTCTGCCCAAAACCGGCTGCATCCTCTTGGAAGACCACGGGCTCCTCCACATCCAGGTTGAATCCATGATAAGAAGCCAGAGCTGAGGAATATGGAAGAAGGGGAGGTCAGAGAAGCCCCATCCCCTCTGGCCCCCCAGCCTCAGGATACCGCACCAGACTCCAGCCCTGGCTGAGTGCTTGGCCATCTGTTCAGTGCCCATCCCTCTGCCTCCCTCCCTCGGAAATGATCAAGTCACAATGCAAAAGGCAGCACTCCAGGGAAATGCTCCTCAGAGACACTTCCGGGACATCCGGGATCTGAAATCAGGCCAGTCGCCACCTGGTGCAGTAGATCAGGAATTTCCCTTAAAGATAAGGTGACCATAAAATTTTACTGTCTAAACTGGGAGCTTCTGAGGGTGAAAGGGCACCATTAATCATTACACCAGGGACTGCCCAGGCAAACTGCGGCACATGGGCACCCACTCATACACTGTCTTGATCCGTCTCCTCATACACAGAGACCCCAAAGCCCAGACTGGGGAACAGATTTAGAATCCTGTGATTAATTACTTGTAGCTGTTTGCTTCCCAAGTCCCCCTCTCTTGGTGCCAGGCTCTGAGAGGCTGCATCTGTCTCGTCCTTCAGAGCCAGGTGCAGTGCCTACCCTGAGCTGACACCTGATTACTATTTGTTGACTGACCCAGACCTGCATGGCAAGCCACTGGCATGGCCAGGATTCCAGCCCACTCTCCTGACCCTCAACCTGTCACACTCCCCTTGCTGGTGGCCAAGTTCCAAAGCCTCGGGGGGTGACGTGCTACATTTCAAGGGCTTTTCCTGACTTTCCCACTCCAAGCAGCCATCTTTCCTCCCCATTCCTCTAGAATTCCCAGTTATCTCTGGACTGGGGAGTCAACTCTGCCCCCAAGAGTGGGGAAACTCTAAGGGGGGTCTTGTGTCCAGCCAGATAGTGACATGGAAGGTCCAGGCACCAGAACCCCAGGGTCTGGGGAGAGACCAAATGTTTAGGGAGCTGGAACCCTACAATGGCCATGTCCAAGGGAGCCTCATACCCTAACCTTCCTCCCTCAATGATTCATTTCTGAGCCTGCAAGCAGCCACTCTGACCCAGCAAGTGGCAGGATGCCCAGGGCTCAGCCCCAGGTGCCTCGAGGCAGGTGGCATCAGCGAAGGAAGGAGTGGGAGTGAGCACCAGGGCATGGTGGGCCCTTCTAGAGGAGACTCCACAGCCAGGCACCAGTGCCCAGAGCTGCCAGACTTTCCTGTTTCTCAAGAGAAGCTGGAAATGGGGGGATTTGTGTGAAGTTTGATTTTCAAATGACACAGGAATGTGATCCTGATACAGTTTTCAACTTGTGGACTATTCTCTTGGCAGCAGCGTGAGAGCCTGCGTGCAATCAGGACTTGGAAATCCAGGCCCAGGGAGGCAGTAGCCAAGCTTTCCCCCTCCCTGGTGGGGAGGATGCTGGACCAGACTTCACTCACTCACACAGCGCCCACACCAGGGCCCCATGGATGGGAGTGAAGGACCGTGGGGAACACGGCCATCTGGAGAGGTGGCTTACTCTCCATCTGAGCATAACCCACGAGACTTTGGGCAGGTCACACTCCTCCCAATTCCAGAACATTCAGGCATGAGGCCCCCTCCCCCTCCTCAACTCCTGCTGAGAACCCTAGGAGCTGACCAGCAGACCCCAGCCTGCCCTACCAGACAGAGACCCCCACAAGGCTTCTCCCTAGCCCTGAGGGCCCCCACTCACCACCCAGGAGGAACAGGGCTCGAGAGGCCATCCCTGCTCAGCACATCGGGGAAGAAGCGGAGGGCTGGGCATCAAAGCACTGAAGGGTGCTCGGGGCCCTTGGGGGGAAGTAGGATCATGACACAGGGCTCCACGTGGTGTGGTGGAAGGAGGGGCACAGTGGGGAAGAGGCGCTTGGTTAATTATAGAAAAGAAGTGGGGACAGAAGCCAAAGACACCCTGGGAAAAAAAGCCTCATACTCTCCCTCTCACCACCACCTGCAAGGATCTGGCTGCCTTCTTCCCCCTCCCGAGGCCTTGTGAGCCAGTGGGACCCGGGGACCCATAGCTCTCTGGGAGGAAGCAGAGCTGATGGCTACAGAGGCCCCTGCACATGGACGTGAGCCTGGAGAGAGGCAGGGCACCCCTCAGAGTCAGGGGCATGGTAGGGGGTGCTGGGTCAGGGCGCTGTTTTAAAAAGCAGACCCTTCAAAAGGAGGATGGAGAATCAAAATGGTAAATTTATACAGGGGACTACTACTCAGCAAAAAATAAGAACAGACTGCAGGTATATGCAAACAACATAGATAAAATCAATTTTATCTTAAGTGAAAGAAGCCACCCACCGGAATACATAATGCTTCTTTCGTGTGAAGTTAAATAAGGAACAGGTAAAACTCATCTGTGAAGGTAGAAATCTGAAGAGTGACCACCTCCAGTGGTGTGGGGAGGGAACTTTTAACACTTGTTAAATTTAGCATTTAACACTTAATACTTTAACGTTTTACATCGGGGTGTGGGGGCAGGTAGATGAATGAATGCTTGTTATTTATTCTCCGTCATTCTGTGTGTTTGAAATATTCCACAATTAAATGTAAATAAATATTTTTTCAAAACAAAACAAAACAAAAGGATCCTACATAAAAAAGCCCAGGAACAGACTTTGAAGGTTAAAATATATAACAAAATCCCTGCTTACAGCATAAATTATTTTGTATATATGAGACAGTTATTTAAAACATTTAAAATGCAGATTAAATGTCAAGTGTAAACAGAATCAAATAGCTTCCTGAATTTTACCTCCGTTCACTTGAGCTGATATTTAATAAACAGAAACAATTAATTTTGGCGTATTGAGGAGACCCTTGCAGGGAACTGGCCTCGGGTTGTGATCGCTGACGTCGAGGCTGACAGATCTCACACAAAAGCCCTCCTTCCCTGCAGGGACTGTCAGGCAACTTGAGCAGCAGCCTTCTTCCTCTTGTGCCATGGGGTCTGTTGCAGGTGGCACCCCGTCATCAGTTCTGCAGATCTGTGAACTTCTCTCTGTGTTTAGAACCACAAAATAATTTTCTGATGATTCTCCCTAATCCAAAAATTTAAAGATCTTTTCATTTCCTCCACCTTCACCACACCTCATCTTTCAGACGTGATCTGAAAAGGTATCAGATTTCCTACATAATATTTAATTTTGGATTTCCTTCCACAAGCAGTGCGTGAAGCTGACATTTTGCTGACTTGAGCAACTGTAAACATTTCCAACTTTGCCTTGACTATATTATCACTTATCTAAGCAAAAAATTCTTGTTTCCCATTCATTCATTTTTAGAGAACATTAAGGGTAAAATGCAGTAAGATATTCAAAGACTTGCATAAACCACACACAGCCATGAAAGCATCTTTCTGCCAGGCCCAGCTCAGAAGCTGCCAGGGCGCTGACTCCTATGGCAGTTGTAGGTGATGTTCCTCGAACTCTGGGCATCCTCGGGGGACTTAATGGGACTCTACACTTATAAGAACCATCAACTGTCAGTGAGTTTTTTTTAAGTTATACTTAAAAAATAATAAAGCAACATAGTTAATAATCTTCTCAAGTCAGTGTGAGGGAGGACATTTTTTGCCACCTTTCACCAGATTGATTCACTCCTGTCTCAGTAATAGAGAGGTGATACATCCAGTGTTTTGTTTTGTTTTGTTTTTCTTTTGATTTTGTTTCTCTTGCTCTTTATTTTGACTAACCAAGAAAATCCCAACTCAAAATTGTAGGTCACCAGGAATGGCAGCATGAGTCGATGGCTGTGTATGCTAGTTCTGGGTGTTCAGATAAAACATGAATCCCTCAGTTGTAGAGAAGTTTCTCAGATTACTTTCAGAGATTCGTCAAGTGCTAAATCAATGAGCATTCCACAGAGGAGAGTTTCGGGCTGAGATTTGGGGACAGTAGCAAATGGATCCTAATCCTGGCTTTGGTTGCATTTGATACATCATTCATTATTTGTTTTTCTGATGAGTAAAGAACACTTTCAAGCCAGAAAAAAAGTTTGTAACATAGTTTAAAGAAATCCTAATAGCTTCTTAACATTTAAAATTGTGATATTCGCCAGCCCAGCCACAACTGAGCTACCGCCGGAAACCCCCTGGCCCCTCTGCTGGAATGAGGGGGGTGCCACAGGCCTCGACCATGCCCTCCCCCCATCTCCCCTTCCACCCCAATTGCTCTGCAACAACATCTTAAAATGTAAAAATAATAATAATAAATAAGTAAATTTTTAAATAAATAAAATTGTGGTATTTGGGCCCTAGAGAGACAGGTTTAGGCTGTTTAAGATACTGAATAATACGTCAGTGAGATATGCAGCTTGAACAAATCACTTAGAATTTAAAATCTGGACTATTGGTCATCATCAGGGTCTGAGAAAATGTTTAAATCTCATCAGTCATTTTTTTAAAGACATAACTGCAGTATACAATCACATTTTAAAAATCAATAGTAATTCCTTCATATAATCAGACATTAAACATGTTTAAATTTCTCCAGTTCTCTCCCCCTCCCTTTCTTTCTTACAATTGATTTGTTTACATCAGGATCCAAATAAGTTCTGCTTGCTGTGTTGGTTGCTATGTCAGCTGTCTCTTAAATTGCTTTTAATCTATCCATTGCCCCTTCATCTAATTTTTTCCCCTTTACCTGTTAAAGTTTGCCAGGTCTGGATTTGCCAGCTCCATCCCAGTAGTGTCATTTAACATGTTCCTCCATTCCCTGCATTTTCTGATGATTGGTTGCTGGTTAGATTTAGTTTCAGAGGTATATGTTCTTACTGCAGGAGGCCCATTATGTCTGATCGTCTGTGACATTAGCAGACATAAATGATCATTTGCTAGATCCACTTATTTCAATAGGGTTTGCAAAATACCATATTCTAATTTTTTTATTTCCTCTTTTTTACTAACTGGGATACTTAAACAGACAGAAATGTTCCCTCCTCGGCTATTTATGGTTACCCTAAGGAAAGACCAGATAAATGCTTGACTCTTCCCTTTTACTTACTAGTTTTAGAAAAATGAATTGTTTCCCTGTCATCTTCCAAAGAGACTGAGAGTTTGTTTGCTTTTGATTCATTGTCATCATGGTTTTTGTGGTGATAAGATTTAATTTCTTTCTCTTTCTCATTTGCATTTTTGTTCTACCAGTGGGTTCTGTTCTTTCTTGTGTATTCGTGGTAATAATTATCACTTTTTGGATTCCAGATACAGACTCCCTTAAGGATTTCCTGTAGGGCTGGTTGTGGTGGTGAACTCTCATAGCTTTTGTTTGTCTGGAAAATACACTACTTTCCACTCATTTCTGAAGGATAGCCTTGTTGCGTATGGTATCCATGGCGGGTTTTTTTGTTCCTTTGTTTGTTTGTTTTTAGTATTTTGAATATATCATCCCATTTTCTTCTGGCCTGTAGAGTTTCTGTTGAGAAGTCTGCTGTTAGTCTGATAGGAGCTCCCTTATGAGTGACTTGATGCTTTTCTCTTGCTTCTTTTAAGATTCTCTGTCTTTGAGCTTTGCCCATTTGACTATAATGTGTCTTGGGGAGGATCTTTTTTGGTTGAATCTGTTTGGGAATCTTTGAGCCTACTGGACCTAAAGGTCCATGTCTCTCCCTATACCTGGGAAGTTTTCCATTATTATTTCATTGAATAGGTTTTCCAGCCTTTTCCTCTCTCCTTCCCTTCTGGAACACTCATAATTCGATGTTTGTATGCTTAAGGATGTCTGCTAGCTCTCTTAGATTTTCTTCATTTTTTTAAAATTCTTTTTTCCTTTTTTTTTTTTTGTTTGCCTGTGTTATTTCAAAAAGACTATTTTGAAGATCAGAAATTCTTTCTTCTGCTTGTTCTAGCCTTCTGCTTAAGCTATTGATTGTGTTATTTATTTCATTGAGTGAATCTTTCAGTTCCATGAGTTCTGCTACATTCTTTTTTAAGGTATTAAGCTCTTCATAAACTTCCTTCTTCATATCCTGTATTTTTTCCTCCTTTCATTGTGTTGTCTGAGTCTTCTTGTATCTCAGTGAGTTTCCTTAAGATTGTTGCTTGGAATTCCTTTTCAGTCATTTCAAGGGCTTCCTGCTCTATAGGGTCTGGTATTTAAGAACTACTGTGTTCTTTTGGTGGTGTCATATTTTCTTGTATTTTCGTATTTCTAGTATCTCTACATTGATGTCTGGTCATCTGGTAGAGCAGTTGCTTCTTCTATTACTCTGGAGGAGGCTTTGAGGACAGAGACGTCCTCTTCTTTCTCCAGTGGTGACTTTCCTTGTGTCACTGCAGTTGGGAATCTGGTGGGCTGCCTGCACAGTAGCTGTGGCTACTGCTGTGGTATTGAGCCACTTTTGCAGCAGCCTTGGCTGTGGTGGTGGCTTTGCTGGCCCACCCATGTGGAAGTGGTGTTTTTGGCATGCTCCTTGCCTGCTTCCAGGTGGGGAGTGCTGACCTCAGCTCCTGCCTAGGACCCTGGGTGTGCTCCTTGCCTGCCTCCAGGAGGAGGGGTCATTAGTCATTGTTAAATCTCATGTAATTAAAATGGAGTATTACTCAGCAATGAAAAGGAATGAAGTATTCCTACATGCAACAATATGGATGAATCTAGAAATAATTATGTTGAATGAGAAAAGCCAAGCAAAAAAGAGCAAATACTGTATGATTCCATTAGTATAAAATCTAGAAAATGAAAACTAATCTATAGTGATAGAAAGGAAATTGGTAGTTGCCTAGGTATGG